TCAGATACCACAATAGTAAGAGAATTAACTAATCTCAATAAATATTTTGTTAATGGTCATTATGGACTTCCCTATTTAGCACCTCTACATAGTCCAATATGAGACTTACATTCATATATACTTAAATCCCAAAATGACTAGTAATGCGACTATTTAAGGTCATTGTTAGAGTGGTAAGTTGCTACAGGACAGTTTCAATTATACATTTTAAACATTTTCTGCAGTATATGTGTAGTACATGATGCACAGACTGTAACATTCTAAACATGTCAAATTGCTAAACATTACCACATTGAAGTTTATTTCTCAAACATTTAGTGTCTTCTAGCTAAACACAATCGTTTCAATTCTAAACACAGCATTTTCTAAACATTATTTCCCATTGGTGTGCGCTGATTGGCTGTTCGGTTTCTGGAAAAAACGGCAAAAAAAAAAAAAAAAAACGGGAAAAAACCAAAAAAAAAAACGGCAATAAACCAAAACGGCAATGATAAGTACAAAAACGGCAACAGACCAAAACGGCAATGTGAACAACCAAAACGGCAATAGGCATAGACCAAAACGGCAAAGGAGCAAATCAATGCCAAGACTGAAGCCCACCGAATTTTTTTAATTTTTTTTATTATTACATATCCATGACGAATTATTTCGTTATTTTAAAGTCTTATTTATTATTATTATTATTTTTCTTTCCCGTTTTTTACTTTCATGACATAAATTGTTTAGCCTGAAATTATCTGTATTTTAAGGTTTTAATTATTTAAATGTTCACTGGTTTTATATTGTATATATTATATTGTGTTCCCCCAATCTTTCTTACTATAGAATTTGTATGTTGTATTGTTGTTGTTGTTGTTGTTTACTACTACTACTACTACTACTACTACTACTACTACTACTACTACCTACTACCTACTACATACTACCTACTACCTACTACCACTACCACTACTACTACTACTATTACTATTACTATTACTACTATTAATACTATTACTATTACTATTACTACTATTACTACGACTATTACTACTACTACTACTACTACTATTACTACTACTACTATTACTACTACAATTACTACTACTATTACTACTACTATTACTATTACTATTACTACTACTACTACTACTACTACTACCACTACTACTACTACTACTACTACTACTACTACTACTACTACTACTACTACTATTACTACTACTACTACTACTACTACTACTACTACTACTACTACTAGTTTTAGTATTAGTAGTACTACTACTACTACTACTACTACTACTACTACTACTACTACTACTACTACTACTACTACTACTACTACTACTACTACTACTACTACTACTACTACTACTACTACTACTACTACTACTACTACTACTACTACTACTACTACTACTACTACTACTACTACTACTACTACTACTACTACTACTACTACTACTACTACTACTACTACTACTACTACTACTACTACTACTACTACTACTACTACTACTACTACTACTACTACTACTACTACTACTACTACTACTACTACTACTACTACTACTACTACTACTACTACTACTACTACTACTACTACTACTACTACTACTACTACTACTACTACTACTACTACTACTACTACTACTACTACTACTACTACTACTACTACTACTACTACTACTACTACTACTACTACTACTACTACTACTACTACTACTACTACTACTACTACTACTACTACTACTACTACTACTACTACTACTACTACTACTACTACTACTACTACTACTACTACTACTACTACTACTACTACTACTACTACTACTACTACTACTACTACTACTACTACTACTACTACTACTACTACTACTACTACTACTACTACTACTACTACTACTACTACTACTACTACTACTACTACTACTACTACTACTACTACTACTACTACTACTACTACTACTACTACTACTACTACTACTACTACTACTACTACTACTACTACTACTACTACTACTACTACTACTACTACTACTACTACTACTACCACTACTACTACTACTACTACTACTACTACTATTACTACTACTACTACTACTACTAGTTTTAGTATTAGTAGTAGTAGTAGTAATAGTAGTAGTAGTAGTAGTAGTAGTAGTAGTAGTAGTAGTAATAGTAGTAGTAATAGTAATAGTAATAGTAGTAGTAATTGTAGTAGTATTAGTATTAGTAGTAGTATTAGTATTAGTATTAGTATTAGTATTATAGTATTATTAGTATTATTATTATTAGTATTATTATTATTAGTATTATTATTATTAGTATTAGTATTATTAGTATTAGTAGTATTATTAGTATTAGTATTATTAGTATTAGTATTATTATTAGTATTATTATTATTAGTATTATTATTATTAGTATTATTATTATTATTATTATTAGTATTATTATTAGTATTATTATTAGTATTATTATTAGTATTATTATTAGTATTATTATTTTTATTTTTATTTTTATTATTAAGTGGTTTTTTTCTTTCGCGCTTTTTATTTTTTGGTAGTGATGTTTGCGCTTTAAAAATCGTTATTATTATTATTATTATTATTATTATTATGACATAAATTGTTTAGCCTCATTTTGTCTAGATTATAAACAGTCTCATTGGACTAAATTCTTGCCTATGTTAACCACATGCTTTCCTAAGATTATACTGACACTGGTTTCAAATCACGGTCAAGTAGTTAAAAATCACATAGAATAACCTTGTTCTGCGAATTAGCGCCCCTCAACTGATTATCGAGCCGCCCTCCCCACTTCACTTTCGCCCCCACCCCCATTTAAAGACATCTAAATAGGCCACTGATTTGCATGGCCAGATGAATGAAAATACTCAATCGATGTGCCACCAAATTTTAACCAGCCTTCACCATGCCCTCACGATGTCACCGGGGACGCAACTGCCAAAAAACTATTTTTTGGCAACGAAGACACGCTACCAATAAACAATCAACAGACTACCTGGTTTCTGGGTCGATTTGCAAGGTACTACATGGCTCAACTATATTTAACTTAGGGGTTAATTGGTAAAAATCGCACACAAACCATACGACGTCACTGAAAACGCCGGGGACGGCAACTCGATTTCGAGATTAGTTTTGCGAATAAAGTTTACTAAATAACATCTAATGACGAACTATTGTCTTCAGTCGTCTGTGTTGGTCATTCAACTGTCATTTTATCTATTTTTTCGGTAATATTACCATTCTCAATAATCTATAAAACAAACACATAAAAACGTCACGTTAGATCGATCGGTGGGGACGCCGTGGTGACCCCGGTAGGGTCAATTTTCGTCGGAAGGTATCAAGATGATAAACAGTTTCATTGGACTAAATTCTTGCTTATGTTAACCACATGCTTACCTAAGATTATACTGACACTGGTTTCAAATCACGGTGAAGTAGGTAAAAATCACCTAAAATCACATTATTTTGCGAATTAGCGCCCCTCAACTGATCATCCACCCTTCCCACTTCACCTTCAGGCCCCCATCAGCCACCCCCTCCATTTCAAGACATCTAGATACGCCACTGACTTACATGGCCAGATGAATGAAAATACTCAATCGATGTGCCACCAAATCGTAACCAGCCTTCACCATGCCCTCACGATGTCACCAGGGACGCAACTGTCAAAAAGTTAAGCTAAGTTTTTGGCAGCGAAGGGACGCTACCAACAAACAATAAAAAAAACTACCGAGTTTCTGGGTTGATTTGCAAGGTACTACATGGCTCAACTATTTTATTTGGTAAAAATCGCACACATCATACGATGTCACTGACAACGCGAACCGACTGCGAACGTGTAAAGTTAGAGTATCAGCCATCCCCTCCGAGCCACCCTCTCATGTCACCTCCCTTCAAACTACCCCTCTCAAGCCACCCCGTCAAGTCACCCTTCCTCAAGTTAGACCTTCAACAACCTACCCTTCCTCAAGTTACCCCTTCATCAAGCCACCCCTTTCTCAAGTCACCCCTTCCATAGTATTGTACATAGACTTGCCACAAGTTTCTAATTTATTGATTTTTCGTAGTATTACAGTAGCACATTTCGGAAAGCGCCACCAGCGTCAGTTTATGTCGAGAAACTTTATTGATCCCAATCCAAGAAAAAGTATACTATGAAACGCCAAGCAAATAGGTAATGTGGAACGCCATTGGTGCCAAAATCGATTTTTCCTGCTTTTTTAACTGATTAAGACAAAGTTTAGGGACTGGAAACCAGTCTATATTGTACAATGAATGATTGCAAATTATTTGATTATGCTTCATTGTTCCAATTGGTTTTCATCAACAGGTGGACGAATTTGTTCATTTTCTCCCTGCATTGAGCAAGTACAGTAGACGTGTTTAGAATTGACAGCACAGGGATTTGAGGATTTGAAGAAGACAATGGATTGTCAGTTATGCCTTACTTAAGATCAATTATTTTATAAGATGAGAGTGCAAAGAAGAAAGTAAAGATATTGGAAGGTCTTTGTGGGCATAATTACAACAGGACTTATAATTTTGTTCATTGTGAAGGTTAACCTTATCTTATTGTTTACTTGGACATGTCACTTAGAAACCTTGTTTATCTTCCCCTTATAATCGACCTATAATTATTATTTAAAGACTGGCTTGGTGATGAAGGAAGGGGCTTAGCTGACAAAGAAACTGTGATATGAAGTGATTTCTAGCTACTTTTGTTAAGCCTGGAGGAAAGTGTTAGCAAGTTTCCAGTGGTGGGTGCCGGTGGAGGGCAATCTTTTTTTAGAGGGGTGGGGGATGCTGAATAGGTTGTGCTGAAAATAAAAGATAATAATTATCTAAAAGTAAGATCTTAGATATGCTTTTGTATGGGTTGTTCAATGCTAAAATGAAATAAAACCCTTTTTAATGATATTCTGAACATTGTTATTTTCATTTATTGATATTTATTAAATTTTGATTACACTTATACATTATATTTTATTGTTAAAGAATATTTATCATCGCAATTAATATTAAAAGTATCTCTCTCCTAAATCACATGCCACACCACAACCAATTACAGGATAAAGGGCAGGATGATTGCATTTCACAAGGCATTGAAATGTTATGATCGCATGTAGGCCAAATGCACTTCAATTATAATTTTCAAGAGTGATTGCCGAAAGCAGAGTTCAGGACCAGTTGCCAGGTGGTTGCACTTGCCCGGGTATGCCCATAGTTACTTGCGATTGGCAAGTAACTTGTACATACCCACTGACATTATCGTGTGAAGAGCATGCGTAGGTCATTAGTGGCAGTGACGCCAATTCGTCAAAAAATGCTGTATCTTGATTGGTCGGTGTGTCTGATGGTTGAGTTTGGTTGCAATACTCGCTCTGATCAAGGTTGTGAATGATTTCCATTGCGTGGCTGTACGGTATGCGAAACTTATCGACATCACGTTTCAATCGGTCGCATACCAACAATTTAGCTGCACTTTTCAGCGCCTCAAATGGTTTATACATCATCAACTGGGTCTGTTTGGTCTGACATACACGCTCATCTGTCGCCTTTAAGGGTGTTTCACACGCGTTGAAATTACAAGGCATTCTATTGTAATGTGAATCAATGTTAGGCACGTTCGGTTCCATGACATCTGTTGTATTTATATTGGTTATATTTTCCAAATCCTCGTATATGTGGTTCTCGAATGGGGCTAGAGGTTGTGAAGGCATTGATTCCCCGTCGTCCACTTGTGAGAACGAGTATCCCGTTAGAATGTTGTTATTAGCCACCTCATTGATAAAGAATTCGACTTCAGATTGCCTGTACATGGAGAATTATAGTGTAAACAGCTGTATTTTAAACCGTACAAGTAATTTACCAATAATATTTTCTGATATTTAATTAATGTATACTGTACATACGATAAGGTTACCGAATGGGAAAATTATGATTATTTAAAAAAAACAAAATTTATCAAATAATTTTCCAGATTCGTTCATCCTGCAGATGAACGAATGAAGTTTGATATATAGAAATAAAAAATGACTTGTATAATTGTCCAGATATAAAAGAAACAAAGCATGAATGTGCCCGTTTACATGGGCAGTAGGTACTTCTCTGTCTCTGTGGTGAAAACTATTTTTTGCGAAAAGGAGGGCCGGCCGTAGATTTTCGCTCTTTTGCCTAATATTGTTTCAAATACATGGTTGTTTAGTCAGTATACTTAGTTGATCAGAGATTCACCTGATCTTTGATCATAATGATTAAAGATCATTGGTTGATGATGTCAATTAGTGATATGGTATGATGTGTTGATGATAATAATGACGATGACGATGGTAATGATACTGTAATGTTATGTTTATATACCGTATGCATGAGATTAATGATAAAAAAATATCATAACACAGGTCTCCCTAAAATTAAGGACCACCTTTAGGACGGGAAATTCGATGGTCTTTAGAAGCTTTGGTCTCATTAGAATAAACATAAAAGAAATTTGTTAAATTGGGACCACATGATAGTGGTCTTTAATTGGAGGTGGTCCTTAATTAGAGGGATCTTTCATTTGAGGGAGACCTGTATAGCTAATCTCTAATTCCTTAAACTAAATATGGTTGGCCGTTGACTTCGAGTACTTGTTCAATTTCTTTTCTCTTGCTGTCGGGTGACCCTCCGCTTAGTTGTCAGTTTAGTCACAAACGACTCGGCTGAGCGGAGTTTCATGTTGTAGGTCTATCGAGGACTATTATCTGAAATTATGCTCTACACTATTGTTAAATAGTGTAAAATAAGAATTTTGAAAGGATTTTACCGAATAATGTGGGTTTGAGTGATGAAGCAGCCAATCACGCCATTTTTTCCAGAGTGCCTAATTGTGTCGCATTCACTGATGGTAACACTCGCACACTGTTGACAACCAGATATGGACACTAAACGTATCAGACCTGAACTCCTCTCAACTTTAGTGCCGAATTGGATCACTGCAAAATATATGATAAAAATATAAGATATACATACAGTCTGTGATGAGCGAAAAACAACTTGAAAAATGAATAATTCAATATTTGAATCACCTTTGTATAATTTATTCGATTTTTTAGCTTTCAATTTCAAAATTAGGAGGAAAAATGTAGGAAATATAAACAATGTTTGCGGCACGATCTAGGACTTTGCCCATCGCCCTACCGGGACCTCTTTTAGTCGCATTCTTCAACCCTACACCCAGTCCACTTTTGCAGTCTTGAATAATGGTGGTGTAATATATTCATTCTTATTTTGATACTTCCTGTACATTCCTAATCTAGCAATTTCGCTGCCGATTCTAATGTTAGTCATACATTGCTATTATTCCTGACGTACTTTTTGAATGAAGCGTCCGTGCTAGTGGAAGATCTTCGTGGTGAACCAAAGTATACCAAGACGTCCCTTCCAGCTCGTGATCGTGGTATCCCGTGTAGAAAAACACGCTGTGTAATGCAACGGTAATGAAGTTGATATTGCCTCTGTTATGATAATTTAGTTAATGGGTATACATTTATAGACACATGTTGTTTAGATATGTTGTAAACAATGTTTGAACTAAACCGTTTATTGAAGAAATAAATATGACTAGATTGCCTCATAAACTGTCCGTAATAGGTTTATCATTTCTTCAAAAAAACAACTTAGTAATAATTATTATCACAATGTTCTCTCCAGTGGTTAACAAATACTATAGATTGATTGAAATTCGAAGACCTAATTGTTTATCATATGACTTTTCTGGTAATGAGCGTTAAGAAGCCGTTTAGTTTTAATTGTTTCCTTATAGCATAGTGGGTCGATGAACTTTAATTTAATTAATTCTTTCTATCAGTTCGTGATATATATATATATATAAATAAATAAATATATATATATATATGTATGTATGTAAAGGCAAAATCATGAAAAACAACAATGCTGTGGGAAGCAATGGCTGGCTCTCGGTGGTAATACAAATTTGAAAAGCATCAGCTAATAAAATGTAAACGTAAGTAGGCCTAAACAGCCAGAAATAGAACCAGAGGTTTCGGACAACACTAGTCCTTCCTCAGTGGCGAGTGAGTGAGGGTAGAGTAATCCAGATAGTTTAAAGTGAGAAGTCATGCAAGGGTGATTAGAACCATTGAAATAAAGTTTATATAGTATTATATAATATTCAAATGAAATTTTTACTGCTTAGCACTGGGAACACAAATTTAACCAAAGTAAATTAAAATAAAATATAAGAGGTTGAACAGAACGTTTGAATAGACATTAATTTTATTTCTATTTAGTTTCGTGCGTGCCCTACATAATGGTGCAACACTTACAGATAAAACTAATTTGCAATCAATCAACAGTAATTTGTAAAGCACCAATATTCACGGCAGATATGCAAACATGCATTTATGTATAATATATCCTATTATATAATATAAATATGTGGGTGTTTGAGTTCCGCCAGTTAAAAATATAGATAATGACATATAAAACTTTACTTGGGCGAAGCTTCTAGTATTTTCATATCCACACTGTGCAGCATGTAGAAGGTTTCCGTGTTGTAGGGTGCCATTTCCTCGCCCACAGATGACCAACACTCGATGGGAAGGCAAGTCAACATCAACGCTCTCTCAGAATACTCGTCATGGTTTTCACCCGGATGTGGAGCGTACCGACCACGCATCAAAATCACCTGAAACGTCATTGTCATCAATTATGTACATTGTAGTTCAGTAGTGCAACAATTTTGTTTTGTATATGATACCTTATAAAATATCATTATTCCGCACATTATGTCTTATATCTAAGTTAATTTTTGAAAATATTGAAATATAGGCCTATTTACGTCGATTACATTTGTAGGCCTACATTAGTGAACGTATCGCATTCAAACAGATCCTGGCTACACCTAATTAACCATAATTAACCAATATCTAGCCATTTACTACCGTATATTTTTATGCCAGATTAATTTTGGTTTTAGAATGTTTTGGAGCTGTCTGGTGGACCACCACCAAAATACACATTCTTAGTCGCTCGGCGTACGGTGAAAAAGAAAGCTAATGAAAACTTTTGCCCGATTTCTCTTACGGTACCCAACTACTCATTCCAATCGGATTAAGCTTATTATTATATATTTATACTCGCCACATTCGGTTTTGATG